CTTTAGGGTCTTGGAATCAATTTTCTCCCTTTTAGAGCTTTCCTTGAGGTATGTATGTCCAGTAATCATTCTTTTAAGTTCTGAGAGAGGAGAGAAATCCATTTAGGTATGCTCTCCAGGTAAAAGCTGGTCTCTCCTTTTACGAGGTGGCTCAGTACAGTTTGATTTGAACTATATGCCTGAGAATATTCAGGGTCCCTTACAGAAATTGTGAGTCACATAAAATAACAATGTGTACATAAAATGCTAAATTCTGGCAGGTTTCTATGAAGTGGTGATTCATATCACGTTCCTAATCTTCTTTTCCTTAAAGGGACACATATTAAATAGCATAGTATCATTTCATAAAACAGAGATTCTCAACCTTACTTTTTGTGATTCCTGCTGACCCTCCCTCCACTGGAGAGAGTATACCCCACCTATCTAAGTATCCTGTAAGTATGCCAAACTTCTGGTTGTTTAACTATAATAACTTCAGGAGGGATTTTGTTTGTCATACTGTCACTTTGTGTCCTATCCACAGATAGACTGGCACAAAGCAGCCACTCAAATCTTAATTGAATAAGTGAATGAATATTAGGAGATGACTAGCAAAGGAGACGATGGACTTGGTGTCTCTGTGTTTGAAGGGAGCAAATAAAGTGGCTGAAATTAACAAGTGACCATGCCAACAGCTTAATGAATGAGATGGGTCTTGGGCTTTTTTTTTCATTGGATTTTGTGGATATTCTTTGGAAAATGAGCTCCTTAAGGTTTCTTCCATCTATCTCTAACTTACAGTTCTATTTCAAAACTGTTTCTACCAACACATTCTTATACTACTTCTTAAACCTCTGAATAAGCCCTGTATTGTGATTTCCATAGAACGCTATTGCTTTAAGGTACCGTCTTTTAGCCAGTGTTCGCTAATGTTTATAAGCATTTTGTGAGTTGCTAATACTTCTGGAAGTTCTTCACTATGTTCCCATGTTTCTTAAGGTTCAAGGCAGTAGGTAAAGATGAACTTTAGAGGAAATCATGCTTAACCAAGTTGCTTTAAAATAATGATCTGCCCATAGGTTTGACAGCAACAGGCACCTTCCCTGGCTCACTCAGCTTTAGCAGCAGCCTGGCACTGGGCAAAGGGCAGGGGCTGCGGCACTGAGGGACCTCAGTTTCAGCCCTTGCTCTGCCACTGACCCAGCAAATAACCACAGGTGCTCCCTTACCCTTGTATGACCCAGGTTCCCTCACTTCTAAGAGATAATGCCTGTCTCTCAGGATGGATTATGAGAACCACACAATAACATGGAAAAGTGATTTATAGGCAGTAATGCTTGCTTAAGAGAATTCTTTTAGCAGCTCTGTGATAGCTTTTAAATGGCAGGGTTGTTACCCATGGCTAGTGGCTCTTATCAGAAGTTGTTACTTAATAAATGCTGAATAATGCAGAAATATTTGCAGGCAACCTATGTGGCCCAGAGGATCTGCTTTTGTGATAAGACATCCCCACACTCATAACCTTGGCATATGCTTTGATACTTGGTCATGAAGGACGGTTCATGGCTGAAAGAGCAGTGACCAGGTATGTGGTTTGGTGAGCCAGGTCAGAGGGAAGGAAGGGATGTGTAAAAGGAAGCCCCCAAGGGAAAACATTTGTTGTTTGTCCACTGCCCTGTCCCCAGTGCTTTAACTCACACCTGGCCCATAGAATCAATGAACTGAGCATTAGTAAGGTGAGGTCTATGGAGTGGTACTATATTTGCTCCATCAATGGGCACACCCTTATTTTATTAAGGTAAATAGGCAAATAAGACAACCCCACACAGATACTTTAGAGACCTTTTGTTAATCTTTCCTGATAAGAGATATTTGTTCATCAAATATTTTTATGGAGCATGTGGCCTATGCAGGAAAGTGAACTGAACACCGAGGACACAGACATGTCTTCTAGGAGTTTACTAGTCAACAAAGTGGTATAGAAGGTGCCTGCAGCGAGGACATTTTGAGCAAGAACAATCAGGGAAGACTTTGGAAAGCAAGTCACCCTTTGATAGGTAGAATTCCATCAGCTGTGGCATGGCAATTTAAAGCTTTGGGGTCAAATCTTCTCTTTGACAGGGTAATGTCAGAGTTTGAGAGCCCCTCAGCAGCTTTCCTGGGCTGGTGGAATCTTGCATGGGTTATGGAGACATTTGGGGGGAAAAGGCCTTAGGGACCAAGATCTGCTGGGGCTTCTTTCTCCTTTTAGGTGGGTTGGTTGAGGCTAGAAGGAGGCAGCAGCTAAGGAAGAAGGTGGCAGTGAGAGCTCTTCCTTTCAAATGTGACCTCAGTACCCACTTTCATGTTGGGGAGGGTGGAATCAGCACAAGGCTTCTCACTAGGAGTTTTGTTTTCAAGCTCTAATGTGTCTGAAGGTATTATAAAATGGAAATATCTTGCCAGAAACGGGAGGCAGTCTTTCAACTGAAATTGAAATGAGAAACTGGAGGTCTTAGAGTGACCTGAGGAGATGCAAGAGTAGGTCATGATATATGGGCATGCCGGGTGTCTTCAAAGAAAACCCAGGATAAGACAATAATAACTTGTAATGTACGTTCATTAGAGGGATGGTGGTTAGCTCACTTACTGAAAATTCACTGGAAGGTAATTTTTCAGCAAATATTTGGGTGCTTTCCGTGTGTCAGGAACCACGGTAGATGTGAGGGAGATGTAAAGATGAATCCTTTCCTCTGAGGGATCCCCAGTTTGGAGAGGTAGACATGACTGAGTCACAGAGAAGGCTTCAGTGATGAGTGAGGTAACAGACACGTGAACCAAAGTGCTGGGAGCATGAATGAATGCTGACTTCGAGATCCACAGAACTTGGTTTGAGAAGGTGTCAAAGATGTCAAACACAGAAGGTGGGAGAATGGCTTTCCAGGTACAGAGAAGGTAGAGAGCAGAAGCTCTCCAACCTGATAGGTTGGGCTGTGGTCCTGGAAGGGGGTGCTGGAATGTAAGCTTCATGTAGTGGAGGAAAGGGAAGGTGTTCTAGAACTTTGTAGGAAATGGGGACCCACCAAAGGTGTTGAGGAGAAGAGCATCAGTAGGACTGTGTGTTAGAAAAATGCTTCTGGTGACAGTGACGAGAGTGGGTGGAGGAGGAGTGGGGCCTGGGAGGCTATTTGAGGGCTGTGGCAAGCATCCAGGCAGGAGTGGTGAAGGCCTGGGACCTTGTGGAGGAGGTGCAGGGGAGGGTGCTTCCAGAGCTTCCAGAATTCCAGAGTTCTTCCTAGGGTACCTTTCCTAAATGTGAGCAATGTCGTCTAAAGTTTAGAGCAGGTGGAATTTATTAAGAGGAAGAAGATGCTTTTTGACAGTTATCTTTGTTGACCCCCATTGGTACCATTAATTGGAGACGAGGTGTCCCTCTTTTAAGGGATAGAGCCACAATGGAAAATTGAGAGCTGCAGGGAGGGGGTGGGGAAAAGGATGATGAGATGTCTGTGATGTTATGTCCCAGACTTTCCTGGTCCTCTTCCATATCTCACTGGTTCCTTTTCTTCCTCATACATAAACAAAGACATTTCCCCAAGTTCTTCATATGTTTCTTGTTTTTCCTCCCTCCCATCCAAACATTTCTAGCCCTAATGTTTTTGCTCTTCACTTGGGCAAATGACCACTCAGCTGTAAAGTGGGATAAATTACCTGCCTCACAGAGGCATAAGACTAAATGAGACAATGCATAGAAAACACTGCCTAAAGGCTTGAAATGAAGTGCTCAATAAATAAGCATCTAGTATGTATTTACATATTTACATTATTCTGCCATATTTTATATGGATATACATTTAATCTCCCCTTTCTTTTGAATTCCTCGATGGTTTTGTATTATTTTTTATCTTAAATGTTCAGTATTGTGTTTGTTCCAGTAAGAGTTCAAAAATCTGATTTTAATTCCTTTTGTCTGCCAAGATGATATTTTGGACTCCTCATCAGCAGAGCATGGGACTGGCCTCTCTTAGGGATGGATGGGTAATACCCACATCCATCTCTCTTTTGCTAGGGACCAGGGGTCCCATGAATGACATGGCTGACGAGCTGGCAACTGGGGAACAAAGAAGCAAACACTGACATTCCTGCCCCACGTGACTGTAGCTCTGCTCTCCACACACATTGTCTTCATTAGAGGAGTAATCTGACAACCAACAAACCAAATTTGTTTTATAGCCACCAGAATGAAAGTTTGGGTTGAGGAGGGGAAAGGGATCCTGTTTATGAGGAAGGCTAAGAGCTGGCTGCTGTGGCAGTTGAGGCTGCCGCGGGCTGTTGAGACCACAGGCAGAGGACGTGCAGTCCCAAAACAGGGAGGCCGTGTTCTCGACAGACAAGTAAGGCCGACGTGGTGAAGTTTATAAACAAGGTTTGTGTTGGAATAAAGAGTATGGGCTTGAAAACTTTGCGCACTGCTGTCTCCACTCCTTTTTACTTTGGGGTATCTTTTGACGAGGTAAGTTAGCCTTGTCAAGGCCAAGAAATAAGTGAGGGAGGGATTTTAGAGACTCTGGCATCCATAATAAAGGATTTGGGTTGGATGAGAAGCCTTAATTCCCTCCAGGAGTGGGAAAACACAAGCCCTTGTAGATTTTTTGTTCAACCCCAGAATTACCAGGATCATCCAAGTTGTTGAGCCACTGGACTAATTCTACAAGCTTGTTAAGGAAAGCTGTTCAAAGCAGACCGTGCTCTAATTGACTTGAGCCTGTCTGAAGCCTATGGCATCATGTCTGTGAAATCGGATTGCTATTCTCCTATTATTTAGTAATTTTGACCCATAGTTCAGTATTGCATTTTTTTGTTAGAAATAATTTAATATTGTTAAATCCAAAGCTAACCTCTTTCTGTGCTTAATGTTTCAATAGCCCTGGCTCTCCGTGTTCAATTTTGAACTGCATGAGTTATTTTCTAGTGAATTGTCTCAGTGTTTATTTGATAAATACTGCCCTTACAAGTAAAGTGATGTTATCCTCTGTTTCTAGCTATTGTGGATGATGAAAGGCTCTCTGCAGAGGAGATGGATGAGAGGAGGCGGCAGAACATCGCTTATGAATATTTGTGCCACCTAGAAGAAGCCAAAAGGTAACATCCACTCTTTGTCTGTTTGTACACCTGCTCTTGGAGATAAGCTTTGGTATACTAGGCTCTTAATAATTCATCAGCAGTCTTTTTGGTAGCAGGGTAATAGGAGAAGACCCACCTGGTTTTTGTAAAAAGTGAGGCAGAATCGAGAAAAAGTTGCTACCATGGCCAAGATCAAGGCCCTAGGGAGGGGTCTGATCCATTTTCTTCCTCAGAGTCTCCCAGGAAGTCTCTGGGCAAATTGCAGATTGTTTCAAACTCTTCATCTCATTGGTGTGAGTGGTGGGGGAGCAGCAAAGACTTAAATCAACTTCCTTTTCCCCCAGAGCTTCCTCAGATCTTTTTCCCATCCCCATCCCAAGTATCATAAATGCCCAGTAGGACAGTAGCGTGTTGGACTGAAGTTGGTTGGTCACTGGAGAGTAGGTTTATAACAGCAATCTCCTTTTCAGTCCATGGGTGTGTGACCACTTGGGATACATTGTCTCTAAAATCACACTGATTCTTTTAGACTATTTACACTGTGTCAGGTTCTCCAAGGAGAAAATGTAGATAAAGTCTTTGCACATAGGCCGCTGTATCAGGGAATCAGAAGAAGTTTGTTCTATGCCGGGTGCATCCTGCAGTGTCCGTATGCTATGAATTAGATTCTGATTTAAGGCTTTGTGCTATGATGGAGAAACAGCATTGCTCCGTGGACCAATGATATCTTCCATCTCTCTTATCTGTATAGAAAATAAACATTTAGTTAATGGTCACTTGTGTTAATTATCGCTGATCACTGGTAAATAGCTATCCACAGAGCCAAATGAATGGGGTTTGTAATCAGTGTTTTGTAAAAGAACATGCAGTGACGCATGTGCTAATTTGGCCTGGAAATTGCTTGCAAGGGGATTTCCCAGAGTTCTTTAATATTTTCATGGTGTCTTATAACTCTAAGTTCTGAAGACTAAGTTTGAAAGGCTATTTAACATGTCTGTGAAGTCCACAATTAGGTTGCAGGTCACTGAAGACTCACTGTCTAAGATTATTAGAAACTTGCTTTTTGTCAAGTTGTTGCTTAAAAATGTTCGATAAGGAGAGTGATTCATACACATTAAAAATAAACAAGTTTTCAGTGAAAAAAATTTTAGGAGAGTAAGTGGAAACTTCCTCCTGATACAAACTGCATTCTAAGTTTTTGTCTCCTGTTTTTGTAAGTGGGAAGCAGTGTCACACAGAGGAAAAGGTGTGTGATTAGGAGTCAGTAGACTAAATTGCCTGGCTCCAGCCCCACCACTTAAGATGCTGTGTGATCTTGGGCAGACATCTAACCAGTGTGAACTTCAGTTTTGTCTGCTCTGTACCTGACAAACTTACCTTGCCTGACCTATTTTGTGGATTTTTTTTTTCTAAAAGTCAACTAAAATCAAGAAGGTATAAATATTTTATAAATGATAGTGCCAGTTAGGTGTATGGTGATAACATAAGCTTAATTTTCTCCTGAATGTATCAAAGTGGTATTAATATAGCTTGAAAGCTTGTCATCTTCTTTAGTCTTTTCAAAATTCTGTAGTTGAATTTTATTTTAAAAAGGTCAGCATAGTAATTAGTCCAGGTTCTTTGAAGAAAGCTTCCTTAGGAATAGTTACACTGAAGAAAAGACTATAAAATAGATAGTTTTTTCCTCTAAGACTAGTTGTCATACATCTATTTCAAGAGATAAAATGTAATATGTATTTACAAATCTTTTATAAAGTTCTAAATGTTTTTTGTGATCTTTAGGAAATCTGATTTTTGGTCATGGAATATATAAAAATTATGTGGCTATTAATAGACACGTTGATATGTGGATAGAATTGTAATGGTCCTGGACTCAAGAAATAAATGAAGGGGTAAATTAGTCTCTGTTCAAAAAACAATTTGAGATGGTTTATTGCATGATTCTTTTACAATGTTAATGCCTTAGAAATTTGTCATATTGGGTTTATTATAGTGCATGCATGTGTGTGTTCATGTGAGTATAGCTGGCTTAAAATACTGAGTTTATACTAAATGGTACACTTTGAATGTTTTGAATGTTTAAATTTAGACAGAAACTTTTTTTGTTTATTTCAGTTGAACTGACTTAAGTGCATTTTAGCTAGAAACGTGTTGGTTCTGTCTCTGTGCCCCTTTTTTTCTTCCCAGAGGTGAAAATTGGAAGGATATCTAGTTTGTTACTTCCTGTAACTCAGAGTTTTTACAAATTCAGAGTTGTAATAATAATATATCTTTAACTTTGGTTTTATTAATCTCAATATTCTGTGATAATTAATATTAGACCATCTAAAAGTTCCTTCATTCAGGAAGGATACTACTAAAAAGGATAATGAGGGAATATTGTTAACAGTTCTATACCAACAAATTAGATAACCTAGAGAAATGGACAGATTCCTAGAAAGACACAAATTATAAAACTGACTAAAGAAGAAACAAAATATCTGTATAGACTTATAACAAGTAAAAAGATTGAGTTAATAATCAAAAAACTTCCCACTCTTTCAAAAAATAGAAAAGTAGGAGCCCTTCCCTATCCATTCGATTGACACCAGTATTTCTCAGATGCCAAAACCAGACAAAGTTTTCTCAAGAAAGTGACAGTCCACTATCCCTTATGAATACACACAAAAATCCTCAACAAAACACTAGTAAACTGAGTCCAACCAGCAACATATGAAAGATTATATACCACCAGGTGGGATTTAGCCAAGGAATGCAAGTTTCGTTTAACTCAAAGATCAGCAAAGACAATTCAGTGGGGGTAAAGCAGACTTTTCAACAAATGATGCTGAATCAACTGGATATGCACATACATAAAAATGAATTTCACCCCTTTCTCACACCATAATACAAAAATTATTTTTAAATGGACCATTAATCTAACTATGAGAACTACAATTATAAATTTCTTAGAAGAAAACATAGGAGTAAATCTTTGTGATTTATGCAGTGATTTCTGAGACTTGACACCAAAAGCACAAACAACAACAAAAATGAGATAAATGGCAATGAACAAGTCGAATTTGAACTAAAAATAACAAAACAATTTACATTAGCACTCAAAAAATGAATTACAAAATACGTGCAAGATCTATATGAGGGAAGCCATAAACTCTGATGAACTAAAATAAAAAAATAAATTGAGGGATATTCCATGTACATGGATAGGAAAACTCAATATTGTCAAGATGTCATTTCTTTCCAACTTGATGTATAGATTCAGTGCAATCACAATCAAAATTCCAGCAAGTTATTTGTGGATATTGTCCACCCTGATTACCTAAAGTTTATGTGGATAAGCAAAAGACCCAGAATAGTCCAATAATGAAGGAGAACAAAGTTGTTGGAGGACTGACACTACCTGACTCAAACTTAATACAAAGCTACAGTAATTAAAACAGTGTGGCACTGGTGAAAGAATAGATAGATCAGTGGAGCAGAGTAGACAGCCCAGAAATTGGTTTCTATAAATACAGTCAGTCGATCTTTGACAAAGAAGCGAAGCAATACAATGGAGCAAAGATGGTCTTTTCAACAAATGGTGCCAGAAAACTGAACATCCACATGCAAAAAATTAATCTAGAAACAGACCTTACAGCTTTCACAAAAATTAACTCAAGTGGATCAGATCCATAGGTAAAATGCCAAACTATGAAACTCCTGAAAGATAACAAAGGAGAAAACTTAGATGAGATTCATAGCAATGCTTTTTAAGATACAGTACCAATTCTGTGATGCATGAAAGAATAAGCTGGACTTGATTAAAATTAAATATTTCTGCTCTGCAAAAGACAATGTCAAGAGAGTGAGAAGACAAGCCATAGACTGGGAGAAAATACTTGGAGAAAACACACTGATAAAGGACTGTTAACCCAAAACACATAAAGTACTCTTAAAACTCAACAATAAGAAAACAATTTGGTCAAAAAATGAGCCAAAGACCTTAACAGACACCTCATCATAAAATATATACAGATTGAAAATAAGCATAGGAAAAGATGCTGCCCATGATATGTCATCAGAGAAATGCAAAATAAAAGAAGACACTACTGCACACCTATCAGAATGGCCAAAATCTAGAACACTGACAACACCAAATGCTTACCAGGATGTGGACCAGCAGGAACTCCTAATAATTTTGCTCACGGAAATGCAAAATGGTACAGTCACTTGGGAAGACAGTCTGACAGTTTCTTACAAAACTAAGTATACTCTTACCATTCAATCCAGCAATTCTGCCCCTTCTCTTTAACCAAGGGAGTAATAGATGCAAATTAAGTCAAAAGATATAAATAGAGTAAATAGATAAATGAAGGCTTATGTTCACACAAAAAGCTGCACATGGATGTTTATAGAAGCTTTTTTCATTAGTAGCCAAAACTTGGAAACCACAAAGATGTCCTTAAGTAGGTGAATAGATAAATTAATAAGTGGTGGTACATCCAGACAATGGACTATTATTCTGCACTAAGAAATGAGCTCTCAATCCATGGAAAGATATGGAAGAAACTTAAATACATATTGCAAAGTGAAAGAATCCAATGTGAAAAGATTATGTACTGTATGAGACAGTAAAAATATCAAGGATTGGAGGAGGATAAATACATGAAGCACAGGATTTTTAGGGCAGTGAAAATATTCTGTGATTTACCATATGGCAGATAAGTATCATTTTATATTTGTCCAAACCTATGGAATGTATAACACTAAGAGTGAACAGTAGTGTGGTGTAAGCTGTGGATTTTAGATGATTATGATGTATCAGTGTCAGTTCATCAATTATAAATAAATTTTCCATTCTGGTGAAGAATGTTAATAATGTGAGAGACTATGCATGTGTGGGAACGGGGGGTAAATGAGAAATCTCCATACCTTCCTTTCAGTTTTGCTGTGGGCCTAAAACTGCTCTTTAAAAAATGGTCTTAAAGATGATCTGAACAGACACTTCTCCAAAGAAAAAATTCAGATGGCCAACAGCC